CCACTCTTCTCCACCCCCACCCCCTCTCCCCCACCCCCGCTAGGTGGTGGTGTGGTTTACTATTAAACATACATACAAAGAAACAAAAATGAATTATACCCCATGGTGTGTCACCACCACCCCCAGGTCACCACTACTCCCCCTCTCCCCCACCCCCTCTCCCCCACCCCCACCATTACTCCCCCTCTTCTCCACCACCCCTCCCCCTCTCCCCCACCACCACCACCACCACCCTGCTCCACCACCCTCCACCAGGTGGTGGAGTATTTTACTATATGTCATTGCGCCAGGCTGCGGCAGGCTGGGGGAGTATTTTGCTATATAACCTTTGCGCCAGGCTCCACCACCCAAATACTAACCAAAAGCGACCTAATATACTACTAACAGGCAAACTCTTATTTTCCCACGCAATTAACCGGCGGGTTTTAAAGGTTTTTTTTTTAACATTTAATATTCCGGAAGGAAATACAACCAAATTGAGTAATGAGGAAGGAAAAATGTTGTTTTTATGCTACGGTTGGAGGAATCAATTCGATTTTTAAAAAATGTAATGTATGGTGTTTATATTTTAATTGTGTTCGTTTCAGTAGGTAATAAGATAGCTTCCACAGTTTCGATTAAAACATTAAAAATACAAACTACATAACAATGTTATGTATGTGAAAATACTAAGAGCTGGAGCGAGATCTGTCACAAAACTTACACCGTCAACAAATACATTATAAATTGTCGCGTTTATTTTAAAAACGTATCTCGTTCTACTATTCTATATGCACTTAGATCTATATACAGTAACTTAATGATAGACATTTATTTTTAGGGATAGCGTATTGAAGCATCGGAAATGACTAATCGTTTAGGGAATTTCCATTATGATTTTCTAAAAGAGAGGCGGGCTATTTTGAATTGAAAGCTGCAATTCATTCTGGTAAGGGAACATTTTAGTTAATTTTCCAGTGTGTGGGCTCTAAATGTTGTATATTATTGGTGTATTTAAGTTTATAACATCTAACTTATAGCTTTAAATCTATGTTAGTACTTGTTGAAGAAGAAAATTGACTACTGAGCTTAACATTAAAAATAAAACAATTTCCTACTTTTTGCGAAAGGGAAAAATTAGCGGCAGAAACATAAATTTACAACATTCCGAAACTTGAAATTTATAATTAATATAATATTAATATATTAATAAATTATTAAATACATTATGTCTTTTGCGTCGTTGTGTATAGTTGGATGTGGGAAGAAGGTGTAGGGGAGATATAGCAGCTTCAAAACATCATGTCCATGATTAAAACGGTATGATTCGTTCGTTTGAACAGACCGCCATGACAAATAAAAAAATTCGTATTTATGTTCCGGTATCGTCAACTTTGTCCTCTGCTACACATTTTAGTGTCTTTTTTTTATAGGTTATCTTTGTTTATTAAAATAGTTGTTTCATGCGTAACCATAAACTATAGGATTACATTTTTTTCTCTTGTAATTTAAAAAGAAATTTAATCAAGTGATTTGCAAGATGAACCGCCTTGAAAATAAATAGTATTAAAATCTTTTAATATCCCTAGGGTATATATATATATATATATATATATATTTATATATATATATATATATATATATATATATATATATATATAGGCCTATATATATATATATATATATATATATATATATATATATATATATATATATATATATATATATATATATCGAGTATCATGAGAAGTCTGACAATTTTGAATGATTTAACGGTTACTCCGTAAATTAAATTATTTTAGTCTATATCGAACGAGGTTGTATCGAAGTCATTAAATATAACGTAATAAATACGAACTGGCTGTGATCCTAATCATATTCAATATGCTTTTATAAATAAATAAAAACTCCATACAATGATGTGTTGCTCTAATATACTAATGCGTATCGATTACAATTATCATTCGCCCCCTAAAAATGACTTTGATTCAATTGGCAGAGAGGAAACCGATCATGATTATGATGATGGACTAAGAAAAAGATTTTTACTTTTTTTTTTTTAATAGCTTTAAATAATAAAAAAATAAAAATCTAAAGATGAAAGTAATATATTTGAGCTAAATATAGTTCAAGATGATTTGAACATCTAAAAACTATATTTATTTACCTTTAATTTGATTCCAATTTTAATAATAAAAATTAATCATAGCCTATAAATTATTTTTTTTTAAAACGTGTTTGTTTTTACAAGCTTTTATTACACTCACTTCCTCGTCGTTCTGTCTGTCAAATTCGAAACGCCCGTGTGAAATTGCAGGCTTTTCTAACTGACAGGCACGGTTCGAAGTTGGTACGTGGGTCAAGACATGAAGTCAATGCATCGTGACATTCAATTTGGTATTGCACCCCCCCCCCCACCCCGAAGAGATGCCTATAAGAAGCACTGCTGGGGGGTTGGGGGTGAGGGATATCCTAGATCCAGTTTCTTTATTCATGTTGAGTTTTATTTACCTCGCCAAAACAAGTAAGGCCAATCATTAAAACCAACGTATCCGAGTAAATGATAGAATTTGTAAAGATGTTCTATATCAAATGTTTTTTAAAATAAATTGTCTAGATCTAGAGGGTATTTTTTTTCTAGAATCATCCATATATATTAGTATTTTCATCCATATATATTAGTATTTTATACTTAAAATTTTTTTAAAATTGATATGGGGTAGTCCATAAATAATATCACACTCCTATGGAGGAGGGGGGAGGTCGTAATTTTGTGACGACGTGTAATGAAGCGGTGGGGGTGAAGGGGTTCAGATAATGTGACGTCACACTTTGCATGGATGAAAATCAATGTTAGTAGCTGAATAAATGTTAACCCTTGTTCTGCGTTTAAATTGTGATTGAAATTCATTAACATACTCTTTGCTGACTGAGCTCAGTCAATATTATAGAAGGAAATCGACGTTTAAAAAAATAAAATGATTGCAATTTTGAGGGATGGGGGGGGGGGGGTTGTAGGCTGAGGAGTGACGTCATTATAAGGGCGGGTCTGGCTTTTTGTGTCGACATTTTGCTGAGGGGAGGGAGGAGGGGGATATCGTCAAAAAAAGCGTAACATCATTTATGGATAAGCCATATGATATAGCTCTTCCATACATACGGATACATAAAAATTATAATATTTGTTTAATGTAATGAAGCAAATAAAACGCATTATATTGTTCACAATATTTGCTAAATACTCACTAAGAACGAGTTACACATAAAATAAAATTATATTGCAATAAGTTGAATAACTCTATTTGTAATAGTTTTTCATTACTGATCTGTATACTGTTTTAAGATAAAACATTAATCTTAAACTCATCTGAGTATGTGGTTAAAGTTTAAAGCATTTTTTTAAATAATAAAACGCATTTTTACAATTGCATGATTTAAAAAAAATGAAACGATCAAGTCTTTAATGTTATTTTTCTAACAACTCCCTTACTTAAAATCATGGTTCAACCCAATACACACAGACCAACTTACCAAGCATTTTCCACTATCGTATAATTTTAAATTCAGAACCCAAAATTAACGGTAATTTTTTTTTTCAAAAGGAATTTTTTCTAAGATTGAGTGCATCGACACACACTATAACAATCTAAACTTGTTTATATCAGAAATCGTAAAGAAAGTAAGAATTTTCCCTTTTAGGCATAACGATCCTAAGTGCAGATGAAGTAGAGTTCCTACGATTCTTGACCGCGGTATATGAAGGGATTGTATGGTCAGTGCAAAGTCCAGCCGGCTTTATTGTCCTCGCCGTGAGTCAGGTACCCATAAGAGCTGGGTGCACTCAGGTACGTCTTTCAGTCTTCAGTCCGGACTAAGATCCGAACTCGAGACCTTTGGGTTAGTAGCGACGACCTCGGATGTAGGTGTGTTGGAAGTATGTCACCACCTCATCGATGTTGTCCACTGTTGGTATAGACCTGTGGTCAAAGCCGGACACAGCGCTTGTGATCAAACACTCGTTGACAATCCACCTGTGATCACAGACCCTCTGCTGAGAAAACCCCTGTGGTCTAAGCCCCTATGGTCAAATCCCCTATGGTCAAATCCCCTATGGTCAAAGTCCCTCTATGGTCAAACCACATATGATCAAATCCCCTATGGTCAAACCCCCTATGGTCAAAGCCCCTCTGTGGTCAAAGCCCCTCTGTGGTCAAACCCCCTATGGTCAAAGTCCCTATGGTCAAAGCCCTTCTGTGGTCAAAGCTCCTGTGGTCAAAGCCCCTCTATGGTCAAACCACATATGGTCAAATCCCCTATGGTCAAAGCCCCTATGGTCAAAGCCCCGCTGTGGTCAACCCCCTATGGTCAAAGTACCTGTGGTCAAAGGTCCACGCACCAAAATCTCTATTAAGACCACACTGTCTTAAAAGTTGTAAAGATCACCCAAATACATCTCGAAGCTGCAAGGATTTTAGATTTCTTCTACTCTGTAGCAAAACTGATACATCAATCCACCCAAAACGGTTACACTTCTTTCACAGTGCTACCGGACCTGAATAGGAAAATAATCTTTTATGCACAAGCAAATCATGTCGGCGCTTTTACGAAATTTTTTGTATATGACTAATACCCTAATTGTAAGACTCCTGACGTGTGTAGCGCGGATCAGGAGTGTAGTTGTCGTCATGTTTATAATGATGTTATAAAAAAACCAACCATGTATAACGAATTTTCAGTAGTGTAGTTGACGTCATGTTTATAATTGGACTTGAGCAACTCTGTCTTCACTGATGTTATAAAAAAACGACCATTTATATCCAGTATATTTTGTTGTATGATGTAACATAAAGTGTAAGGATGAATTAATCCCATTTGCAATGTTATTGTAAAAACGGGAGCGATTGTGTTGCTCAGTCAGCACCCATCGTCAATATTGATTATCGATTTTGTGTGCCAATCTATTTAAAGCCAACATGCCTCACGTGACAGGATGTGAAATCATATTTTATTTTTAGAAGAAAAAACATCAATTACCGACGGAGAAGAAGTGTTGATACCACTCATGACTCACGCTCATTTCTTGCTGAGGTGCCACGTCGTTTGTTGTGCGATGTTGTTTGCCACATGTGGTGTAGCTGAGTTGAGATGTAAACAACACCAGTATGTGGACCAGCTGACAAGTACTTGTACAGCATGTTATATACCATCAGAGGTAACACATCTGTGCTTGTTGTCATGGTAGATGTTTATCGATTAGCTCATAGCCTACGAGTAGAGTGAACGTTGTTTTATTCACTGTGAGTTATATGTAGGATTAGAAAAATGTGATAGTTTAAAATTTTAAGAGAGGTAAAGTTTAATGCATTGATTTCAAGTATGGTGAGCAGTGTGATTGTGTGGCAATCATAAAAAGTAGATTAACATTTGCATTTATTTCTTGCTAATTCGCTTTCTTTTTACAGCAAAACGATGTCGAGGTTTATAAATATCACTCTTATTTATGAACTTTACCTCAATTCTAGCCTTAACCATATAAAGGAAAATATATAAAACTGTATTGTTGTTAGGATATAATTTTAACAATTTTTAGTTTTTAAAAATGTAAATTAAACTTTAACGTTTCGTATTGTGCATAAATACATCATTGTTTATGAATTGAATTACATGTCAGAAAATTAGGCATATTAATACTTTAAATCTGGATCAGTCCTCGTAGACGATTATGAAAATATAATATTGAGGCAAAAAAATGACGCTGTAAATTGCATCTGTGAGGCAAAAAAAAAAAAAAAAAAAAAAAAGAAAAGAAATGAATATTATTCCTACCGTTAAAACGGAGGTATCGCTTTAAATATCTGTTCTATATTTTAACTGCCAACATTATCTGATGTATTAATTTATTCGAAAAATTGGGGATTTTAGAAGACAAATAAACATTACCGTGGCCCATATTGAATGCATTAACAAAATGTAACTTTTTTTTTAAAACATGCTACCAGGTGAGATGTTTTACATCCTAGTGTGCCATGACCTACTTTTAATGACAAGCTGACGACATGGTTGATAAGGATTATTATTGTAGTTTTAGTTTTAAAAACCATTATACATTCTATGGTACTTTATTCTTTCTATACAAAAAAAAAGGTTATTAGATCAGATATTTTGGATGTTTATGTTAAAGTATTGATATGACAAAAGTTTAGGTAACCTCACTGTTATGAATGTATCATCTAGATTATTATAACAGAACGGTGTGTATTCAAAAAGAGCTGGTTTAGAGTAGTCCTTTTTATTTATAGTTATTAATCTACAGACTGTAGTCTTTTTCTATTGTATTTTCTATGAAACGTGAATAGCTGTACACACGGTCAGTGGTATTGTACAGAGGCGTAGCGAAGGCGGGGCGGGGGTTGGGGGCCGCACCGGTTGACATTATTTAGGGGAATGACACAAAGGAAAATATAGCAAAATAAATATAGAAAAAAGATCATTCTATTTAAATGAATGATTAATTAGAGTTAAATTATTTCTAAGAGCAAAATTGACTAATCCCAAGATGGGGTTGGGGGGGGGGTGACACCCGACCTTGTAACGCCACTGATTATAACAACAGGGTGGGAAGTGACATTTATTAACGTGAGGACTTGCAGATTAGCGGGGGTGTATGTAAAGCCAGGGAAAGTTTAGATGAGACAGTTATCCTCAGTTATCGTTCAGCTGCAGTAGGATCCTAGTCTCACGTTTTTATAGTTCTCGTAATGTTTTGTTATCCTCAAGCCTGAGATCGGCATTGGAAATGTTTTAATGGAGGCGAGCGAGTTGACGAGATTCCTTCCATAATGTTGTTGACATGGAATAAAAACGTGCTTTTTAGATTTAGACCGTAAAAAAAAAAAAAATAATAATAACTTAAGCCTAAAATTAATTTAGAAATTTTATATTTTTAGAATAAATGCTATAAAAGTTGCAAAACCAGAGAACTTGAAAATAATTTGTTGAGTTTAAGGCTACATTTCTATTTATTTTCATCAAGCCTAAGTTATAACCGGATGTTTCACTTTCGTAAGACAAATATTGATTGGCTGTACAGTAACTTAGTGATCGATAACTATTTGTTTACAAAACGTTGCAGATCAAGTTTTTAAATAACAATGCAAATTTAAAACCCCATGACCTAGTTTTCTATTTTTAGCTTACAATGTGTACAATAAAATCTATGGCGGTCTATCCAATAGCAGGATGCCATTGTTTATGTCGCCATTACACGTGAAAACCAAATTGTTTTTGCTTTTTTTTTAATTTTTATTTAGTTACCGAAAATATTATAAACATCAAATACATCCAATCTTTAGTAAAGTCCGAAAAAAACCAGACAGGCAGGATTTTATAACCATATTAATTGTAACTACGCTGTGCATGATTTTTTAATGAATTTATACACCTCTCAAATACGTTTGAGACTTTTCTCGCTGGTGTCCATTGTTGAAAGTGCAATCAATAAGGAATCTACAAAAGAGCTTTGTATCGAATTGAGTTTTGTTCAGGTTTATAGTATTGACACTCTCCAAGATCGCCTACCTGCATTCTCGCATTGAATAAAAATAACAGTTGTTTTTGTTATAAAAAGTTTAGATCAGAGCCGGCGTTAGGGGTACGCGGGGCCTATGGCCAACCATCCGCGCGGGGCCTTATATTTTTTTCATTGGTGTATAATTAAATAAAACATGTACAGTGAGGCGTTTTTTTTTTTCTTCTCAACGCGAATTAATATTTATAACGATATATATGGTATTTTTAAGCTGTTTATCAATGTCGTATTAACATTAAGACACTGATTAACAAATAATTTGTTTACTTAGAAGTGCTTTTGAAACGTTGCTTGTTTCTGATAAGGCTTTTTGTTTGAAAAGTAAAAAATAAAACAGATATAAGTTTGATACACGCATTAAAGAGACGATGAACGTCAGCTTCAAACCTGAATTTTTACATTAATGTTTATTTATGAAAATCTTACCAGTACGTTCACAAACGAAGATCTACTTTTCTACCCTTTCGAGACTGGAACTGTTAGCAAGATTCTGTAGGCGATCGCCGTATTGGGAAAGGAATCCCGAATACTCCAAATGTACTGAAGGCACTGTTTGGCTGACTTAATACCTTCGGGCACTTTGAAGCAACGTTAAATCGGTCCACAGTGGCAGGTGATAGTATCGACATTTTTTCAATTTATCGAGTGTTAACAGGGGCATTCAAAGTGTGTGGATGCCGGGGAAAATAGCAAAACATTGATAGATTTCGGAATAAGCTCGAATCGTGAAAAACACTGTTTACAGCTATCGATATCCAAAGGAAATGACTCTCAAATGTAATCACGGACGCTCAGTAAGGTGGAACACTGGGGGGGGGGGGGGTGACAGTTGGTGGGGTGAGGTGAAGCCCGTGAAGGATAACTGTACATTTAAATCTATGGGATGCCAAACCCTAAAAAAATCAGTTCGGGTCAAACGTTACTGGATCTCTGACCGCAGCCATTCAAGAGAAGGTGCGTGTGTATAGAGCGTCCACGTATTACATTACAGGTTAAGACCGCGTTCTCACAAGAGAAGGTCCGTGTCTATAATTAGAAAGTGAACCATGTTATTTATGAGTTTCGCGATGGCATGCTCGGACTGCCGGTAATTTAGACGTTTTAGAAATCAGGAGAACTTTACCATAAAACAGTCTCGGCCCGATGTATCAAACAGTATAGACTTTATAATTTGTTTAGTGTGCCTACACTATTTTAAAACAAGAATCACTATGGCCTTAACTATTATACTGAATATCCCTACACAGAGGCGTAGCGGGGGGGGGGTGCGGATCGCACCGGGTGACACCTTTTAGAGGGGTGACACCATGGCAAAAAATATAGAGAGAAAAACTTGAGGGGGTGCAAATCGAAAGTTTGAGGGAGGTGTGTGTGTGGGGGGGGGGGGGGGTGCAAATCGAAAACTTGAGGGGGGTGCAAATCAAAAGTTTGAGGAGGGGGGGGTGCAAATCGAAAATTTGAATTTTTTTTCCCGGGAAGGGTCGCTACGCCTCGGGAAGGGGGGGGGGTGACACCATTAAGTGCCGCACCGTGTGACACCCGACCTCGCTACGCCACTGTCCCTACAATTAATTAAAATAAACATGTGCTTAATTACTTTACAAATACCGTTAAAGTTTACCAAAATGAAAATGGACATAATTACTGTATAAATGCCCTTCAAAAATATAAAAATAAATACAAGTATAATGTATTTAAAGATGACCTGACAATATATAAAATAAATATGAACATAATTACTGTATGGATGCCTATCAAACGTATCGTGGTGAATATGCATAAAAGATGTTACACAAAAGATGCCCATACAGTGTATAAATTATGATTTTAGGGATAAATACTCTGGATTTCCGGGGCATGTCCCCATCCGCTCCCACCCCCTCCTCCTCTGCAAGCCATCATCAGGTCACTGACTGTTTACTACAGGCACCCCCGCCTTCTCACTAAAAAAAAAAAAAAACGTCTTCAACGGTCTGCAAACGATAGGGTATCTTTTTACGAGTCGACCGTGTCAGCGATGTGTGACACTAATGTCTTTCTTTAGAATAACGGTCTGTACCAGTCCATGTAGAGGATAACTCACTAACATCAGCCGTGGCCTCAGTTTTTACATCCAACAATTTCGGCCATTTAGTTTTTTTTTTTTAAATTTAATTCAGCAAAGATTATTTAAGTTTACAAACTAATTCAGACAACAATGGCGTTGCTGAAGCGCGGGGCCCCTTCAAGCGCGGGGCCTAGGGCGACCGCCCCGTTTGCCACCCCCTAACGCCGGCTCTGGTTTAGATATAGTGTAACGTAACGAAATGTTAATTTACTGATAGAATGAAGGTGTGCCTGATTGTGATTGTCCGTTCAATATCCGGTCTTTAATTTCCTAGGTGCTCGTCTAATACTAAATTGTTATAAAATTATATTTTTTTAAAGTTTAATCATTGTTTTTGTATAAAACAAAATTTTTATTTTAAAGCAAAAAAACTTGTAGGCCTATACAGTGATAAAGTTATTTATTCTTTTTTACTTTCTCGTATATACGTAGTATAGAGAAAGTATTGTAATCGTGCAAAAAAAAAAAATCGAGATTTTTACAAATCTCGACGTTTTACACCTCACTGATACGGAAAAACATAATTTTGCAATCTTGTCCGTATGTCTGTGTGTGTGTGTGTGTGTGTGTGTCTGTGTGTCCGTGTGTAAACACGATAACTTGAGTACCGTTACAGCTAGGCTGGTGAAATTTCATATATAAGTATTTTATCAAAATCGTAGATCCGTATCAACTTTTGAGCGAATTCCGATAACCGGAAGTGGTACTTTTTCTACTTTGAATTTTTCAAAAGCCTATAACTTGAGTACTATTTCAGATAGATAAATGAAATTTGATATGTAAGTGAAAGAGCTAATTCTCTACCTTCTGTCAAATTTTGAGTAATTTCCGTTGACCAGAAGTACTTATTTACGCTATTTCCGATTTCTCAAAAAACGCATGTAAATTTATAAAGTACTAATAATATTGCGCACTATTATGCGCTTTTTTATTTGGCGTTCACTTGGTGTGCATTTCTTTTTTCTACGAGATTATATTCTATTTTAAGAAATATGAGTATTTAAAATGGATTAAAAATCATGTCTAGAAGTCTATATCCCGAGTTGCCATCCCCTGTAGTGTTATATTAGAATATTCGAGAAAGTTTAGGAGAGATCACTCCCGGTTTATTTTATAGAATAAATATGTTCCACTAATTTTTTTAAAAATATTCAAATTGGTGCAAATAAAATTGCGATAGGTCACAGTGAATCTATTATTTTACTACTGTTTTTACACACACAAGGCCGTCAACTGAACCGTCACTTTAACAATAGCAGTAGTTGTATCACTGACCCTGATTTTGACCCAGACAATAATGTGATGACGCAAGTTTAAGTTATAGAGGTCAAGTAGAAGATAACAGAAACAGAGCATAGCATAGTCAGGTAGACCAATAGATTTACAGGAGCTGACCAGTCACGTAAGACGGTCAGATGACTACTGAAGCAGTTAGGTAGCAGTTAGAATACGTAGCGCTATGGGAAAGATGTAGAGAGTTAGAAGGTAGATAGTAGTCATGGAATTGTGTAGGGAGAAGTCAAGTGTTAGTTATAGTTACATAGTGTTACTCAGGGGCGTAGCGAGGGGGGGGGGTGTGGACCGCACCAGTGACACCATTTAGGGGGGTGACACCAAGGCAAAAAATAGCAAAATAGATAGAGAAAAACTTGAAGGGGGGGGGGGGTGCAAATCGAAAACTTGAGGGGGGATGCAAATCGAAAACTTGAGGGGGGTGCAAATCGAAAGTGTGAGGGGGGGGGGTGCAAATCGAAAATTTGAAAGTTTGTCCCCGAGAAGGGTCTCTACGCCTCTGGGGGGGGGGGTGACACCATTAAGTGCCGCACCGGGTGACACCCGACCTCGATACGCCACTGGTGTTACTAGACAGTCAGATGTTTGGGCGTAGTTATGGTAAGAGTCGATGTCATGTGTAAATAAAGTACTGTATTTTTTTTAATTGGACCTTTAGTGTTGATTCCACACTGTACCATGCGTACATAAGAACAAGCGATCCCCATAGGAAGAACATTTACCGTATGTTCATTAAGGAGCATTACACTTATATATAGAATCAAACTTTCTACAACCCGGCATTACATTTGGTGGTAGAACTGCCACAATCACATTTGGTAGAGCAGCGGTTTCTTCAACCTGCACCCTCACAGATAACTTTCTAGCTAAACCTGGGCCTACAACTATGACTAGTCTTGGACTAGACTTCTTCTTCTTCGTTCTTAATTTTAGTGTTGGAATGGATCCGTGTCAACTGGTTATGAGACCATTGACTCCGATTTCGGTCTGCTTTTCTTGTTAGATTCGCTTCCATAACCTTTGTCCAATCAAGAAAAAAACTACAAGGAAGCAGTTGTTTGATTTCGGAGTTGTCTCTCCTAGAAGAGTTGCTGACCCCAGCTACCGAGCCTCATCTGCCCGAGGGTTCGAACTGGACTTTTCGATTTAGCAACCATGAGCTTTACCGACTCGACCACGCCGACCCCTCCAACAACAACGATACTACACTAAAACATCACAGCCTTGCTTACTACGTCACAAACTCACCATCTTTATTTACACAAAAAAAAAACATTTTAAAGCACATACTCTCGTAAAACTTCTATATTTTTCAGCTGGAGATTGAAGTCTCTCCCTGCAACAGCACTCACAACACGGTGGTCACGTGTGCAGACGGCACCTTCAACTCCGTCACAACCGGTCCTGGCGTCAGCTGCAGGTACTGCGGTGTATGCGGCACCGGAGACAACCTTGACCGTAACTACGAAATCAGGTCATGCAGCCCTACAAACGACACCAAGTGCTGCCCTCGCGGGAATATGAAAATTGGAGCAAATGGCTCGTGCTATAACCCTGATGAGGAACAAAAGCCGAAAAATGCCGGCGACAGCAACCAGGAAAGTAACGTCAGCAACTTGCAAAATGACGACACTACCCTGCAAAATCCCGTCAGCAACCAGAAAAATGAAAGCATCCCGCAACCTAACAAAATCAGCGGGAACAATTTTGATCTTGATTCACATACACATAATAAAGCCATAAGGAAGAACATTGACTATAGAGTAATTATATCGTTTTTAATACTGTTATATTTTGTTGAATAATAATCTTGCGAATAATTTAGTATTTAGTTTACACTCTTTAAAACTACCACATTGTGTTCATATTTATAATCTTTTAGCATTTTTTTTAAAGATTAAAATAGAAAAGTTAACTTAAGAAAAAGACATTTTTATGTAACTTATAAAAGACATTTTATAAAATGCCAACTATAAAAATACACTTGGATTTCAATTGCAATATTATTTTTTTTTAATTGAAAATATTCTGAAATAAATTAAATGTAAATGTTTTTTACGATAGTTTCAATAGACGATATATAACATTAAACTCGGCATATTTTAATGTCTGAACTAATTTTCTACTATATTTTATAATTCAAAAAGTACAACATATTGTTTTTCCAGATTGTGTGAAAAATCTTCATAATTTTTGCTTATTATTACTGGTATATAGATCTACAATTCAAAATGTAACAGTGCAACTATTTTAAATAGTTCAGGTATTGTAGTTAAAATTGTATTTTTTTTCCTTTTTTGAACACATTTGGTTGCATTAATTTCTTCTTTAATTTACACAAATAATCTGCCTCAATCAATCTCTGCAATCCCAACACGCGTGTTTCTTTCAGGCATTTCTCCAGAAGGGGCGGGGAGCTTCTCGAAAAAATTCTACCGCACTCCACCCCACAATCCCAACGAATAGAATTTATATACAAAATATGTACTTGAACAAGAGTCGCTACCCCCCCCCCCCCACCCTCACTCGAAACTGAAGTCTGCTTCCAGAAAATTTCTACCCCCACCCCTTTCTCTAACCAACCCCCTTATCCCACCCCCTGAGAAAACGTCTGAAAGAAACATTGATAATACACTAGTCACACGGGATTAAGCCATGTCTCTGCCCACAAATTACCCTTTAAATAAAACTATATCATGGGCTCTTCTTCGCCTGCATCGTGTAGAACCACGTAGTACCTCTCCACCATCTAAATATAATCCATTAAATTACAAACAGCTCCACTAAACCTCCACCATCAGCTGTCTACATCGTGTAGAACCGCGTAGTACCTCTCAACCATCTAAATATAATCCACCAAATTACAAACAGCTCCACTAAACCTCCACCATCAGCTGTCTACATCGTGTAGAACCACGTAGTACCTCTCAACCATCTAAATATAATCCACCAAACTACAAACAGCTCCACTAAACCTCTACCATCAGCTGTCTACATCGTGTAGAACCACGTAGTACCTCTCCACCAACTAAATATAATCCATTAAATTATAAACAGCTCCACTAAACCTCCACCATCAGCTGTCTACATCGTGTAGAACCACGTAGTACCTCTCAACCATCTAAATATAATCCACCAAACTACAAACAGCTCCACTAAGCTTCCACGATCCACTGTCTACATCGTGTAGAACCACGTAGTACCTCTCAACCATCTAAATATAATCCACCAAACTACAAACAGCTCCACTAAGCTTCCACGATCCACTGTCTACATCGTGTAAAACCACGTAGTACCTCCACTAACTAAATATAATCCACCAAATTACAAACAGCTCCACTAAGCTTCCACGATCCACTGTCTACATCGTGTAAAACCAGGTAGTACCTCCACTAACTAAATATAATCCACCAAATTACAAACAGCCCAGTCATCTCCCACCATTAACTGTCTACATTTTAAATTGTATTGGCTAGAAGCTTACAAGCTTAGCTTGCTAAACAATGCTACTTTAAAATATCTAGAACTGCATCGTGCTGTTTTTTCACTTATAGCTAAAACATCATATTTCATTTATTCTAGTGAATTGCATTCATATTTGATATCATGTATGACAGTCTAAGCATTCAAATTGCTGGATATATTTTTTTTTTTTGCTTTTAATAACTATTGACTTGTTACTTTCTCGAATACAGAGTATAGAGAAAATATTGTAATCGTGCTGAATCATTAGAAGATATTTTGACAGTTTTCGCCGTTTTACACCTACCTACTTTATTATATACAAAATATGCAGGATACTTTGTAATCGTGCAATCAATCTAAATAGAGATTTTGACAAACTTTCAAGTTTTTCCCCCTTTTGGAACGGAAAAACTTGGATTTGCAATTTTGTCTGTGTGTGCGTGTGTGTGTGTAAGCACGATTACTTGAGTACCGTTTCGGTTTTGTTGACGAAATCCAAATAGATCTATAAGTATTATATCAAAGTTGTACGTCTGTATTAACTTTTGAGCGATTTCCAAGAAGCGGAAGGGGTACACACTTTACTTCCGGTTTATCAAAAGCCAATTATTAGAGCGCCGTTTAAGTTAGGTAAAGGAAATTTCAAATATAAGTATAAGATCTTATATTTAAAATATTTTTAATTTCCAAATGATCTCCATAACCGGAAGTTGTACCTTACTATATTTTCCAATTTCTAAAATAAAGATACCGTAAGCACCGTTTCATTAAGGCTAACAAAATTGTATACATATGTATAAGATCTGATTATGTTGTTTTTTTTTCAGTTTTGAGCGATTTTAGGAGAACGGAAGTAGTACTTTAATAAATATCACTTCTCCTGGACCGTTTTATTTCTAACTTTTCTCATAGGTAAAGACTCAATAACAATGACAGCGCTTTTATTTTATCGATTTAAATAACATTCATTTAAAGAAAATCTTTGTTTATTTTTTTTAAATAATGTCATTTTCTATTGTTGTATACAGTCCCTAGCCCTCGTCTGTCCTTATCATTTCAGTACTCACCCCAGCCGTTGTATTTTTATGTTTTTTTCCTCATTCACCTGTTTTATAATTTTTATAGCGAGATTAATTTTATTACCAGGGTAAGAGCTAAATATTATTATGAGATAGGTTTGTCTACTTTTTGTAACAGGGGTCATCCATGAATGACGTCAGATTTTTTTGACGAATTTTACCCTCTCCCTCCCCTCCGTCACAAAGAACAAGACCCCCCCCCCCTCTAATATGACGTCACACTTCAGCCTATAACCCCACTCAAAATTGCAGATGAATGTTTCTTAAAACATCCAAATTTTTTCAAAATCGTGTCTGAGCTCTGTCAACATAGAGTGTTTTAATCAATTTATATTACAAGTTATTAATACAATTGTCTAAAACGCGAAATAAAGGATAAAACTCGTTTTCGAACATTGCTTTTAATAATAAAAAAGTGTTGTGTCACACCATCTGAAACCCCCCTCCCCCTCATGACACACCGTCACAAAATTACGGACCCCCCCCTGCTCCCCCCACGAGTGTGACGTCATATATGGACGCCACCGCAGCTAGTGTTTTGAAAAGTGTTTGCAGTATTAATACTCATCCAAAGGGGAATAAACGACGGAATGGTTAATATATTTTACGAGGAAAGTAATCGGGCGTAGTTGTATATTTAATTTATTCAGTCAGGAGACTCATATAGACTTGACCCAATATTTTGTTCTGCTTTAAAATATGATGTTTATGTACATGTAAAATATTAGAAATAACTGTTGGAGGCATTTATGTACTAGACCTATTATTTTATTTTAGGTGCTGAAAATTGTTTTATGCCGTTTTATTTTTATTTAATCTGGGTGTGAGACATTATTTCTCACGTGATTACCAAATTTTAGATATCATCATTTTTTGTGTTCTGTGTTGAATAAGTTTGAACTATTTTGAAGACATTGATTTTTTTTTTTTGCTATTAGGTTGTGCTGTAGGGCGCTTATTAACATGCATTTATATTTTTTTAAGACTTGACCATTTGGGTATCTTTTTTTACCCTATGCAGTAATTTTACTGTTGTCAATTCCGATTTGTTGGTGTTGGTTTGTAGAAACTAACGCACCTCTCACTATAATCATGCTGTACATGTTTGTGTCTAAATTGCATGTGATCTGATTTTTTGCTAGAGTCACTTGCCATAGTAACTTCAATTTTTTATTAACGTATTTATCGTCACGATAACATACCTAATCATTATCATTATCTTAAATTTTTTCCCGTTCGTGAATTAGACCCATGGGGCAGATGAAGTAGAGTGCATCTGTTTCTACTACCTCGGCATACAATGGGATGGTGTGGTGAGCTTATGCCCTGCCGCCTATATTATGCACCCATCAGAGCTGTTGAATCTACTGATTTGAACCATGATTTGAACTCGAGACTTTTGGGTTGGCAGTCTATCTCGACCGCAAGGCCACGCCAGTCACTATTTCCAGCTACCACTGTTATAAAACATGTAGGCAGAGGCGTAGCGATTGGGGGGGGGGGCAGGGGGGGGGGGACATATGTCACCGGGCGTCGACCTTAAGGGGCGCCAAAATGGGTTGTAAAAACAAATAAAAATGTCATTATAGCTGCATTTTTGCAGTTTGAGTGTAGGGGGGGGGGGGGGTGCAAATCGAAAAGTTGAGGGTGGTGCAATTGAAAATTAGCTCCCGATGGGGGCGCCAAATTGAAAGTTTGTCTCCGGGCGCCAGGAAGGGTCGCTACGCCTCTGCATGTAGGACTATATAGATCTACTTGTTTTTAAAAAAAATGTTATATTCAGTCACCATTGAATTGTGTTCAGAAAGTAAAACATTGTTTAGACAAATGTATTGTGTTCAGAAAGTAAAACATTGTTTAGACCAGGGGTCTCCAAACTTTTCAGTCCGAGGGCCGCATTAACTATGAAATTTCAGTTCGGGGGCCAGTTTCTTCCAGGCATGTCTTTGATTTCTCTGGGCAAAGTTCCTCAGCCATAACAAACAAGCGATTTTCCTTGGACAAAAAGATCTCCGCGGGCCGGATGAGAGGACTTCGCGGGCCGCATTCGGCCCGCGGGCCGTAGTTTGGAGACCCCTGGTTTAGACAAATGTATTGTGTTCATAACAAAACGACATTCAGTTGATACTAAGAAACATTCAGGGAAAAAAAAAAACTTTTGTGTTCAAACGACAGTGATGGGTTTATCAGATAGTATTCTGTATTATTATTTTTTTAATCTAGCTGTTGCTTATTTGCCTTTCTGTAAGCAACGTATTAAACATTCATTTTTAAAAAAAGAAACTATTTGAGTTAAATGCATTTTCATTAAGATATTAGATTAAATTTTTGAATAAAATCACTACCAGAAGATTTGAGAACAAAATAAACTGATTAAAATTTCTTTTAATTAATATCTCTTAAGTGCAGTAAAAGAAAAAGTAAAAAATAAGAAAAATATAAGCGGGAGTCGCTCCAAAATCTTCTCAATGCATTTTGGAACCAAGGCTTTAGACCAAAGTTTAAATATTTTTATTTTCATATTTTCTGCATTTAAGGTTGTTATTAAAAAAATTATAATTGTTTTATTTAATACCTTGTAGCATTAAGATATTGCTATAAAAAATATTATATTTAAGCTTCGTTTTATAAGG